GGGGAAGGGGGCTAGAAGTCAGCCAGAGCAATCACCTTCCAGCATCTCTCCAGCTCCTTTGGGGTACGTGAAGAGGGCTTTTCGGGGTGGCGCCAGGTCTGAGACGCTAAACCCCGATCCCGTTACAGAGCTGCCGCTGACTCCGCCAGCCGAAGAGGATGAAGAAGAAGCTGCCATTTCACTCCGTCCTAGCCTGGAACAATGAAAAGGAAGCAAAGCGGAGTCAGGAAGTGCATCTTGGCAGTGAGGCTCCTTACTTCTGGGCCTGGGTGTCAAGTGGAATCGTGCTTATCAGTACGAATGAGGTTACCGAGTCTCACCCCACATCCCTGTCTCAAATACATTGCGTGGGTGGTGACGTCCTCCGTAGCCCGGAGCGAGGACCCAGGTGCGGGAAGGGCACCTCTGCCGAGCCTGGGGACCTGCACCACACATCCGTTCCAGCAGCTGAGCCGGAGTTTCCCAAAGCGTTGCTCACCGAGGGACGTTAAAGGACAGGGCACCGAGCCAGCGACCGCGTACGTATTTCACAGCAGACGAAGAGAGAGAAGTTCAGAAGGAGCCAGAAGGAAACGCTGCCACCGCTGCTCCGCTAGCCTGCGGCCTCAGGGAGCGCTGGTGGCCCAAGGCTGCTTGGGAGAGGCGGAGGGAGCTCGGCGCGCTGCCGGGGCCTCCCGCGGGCTCTGGGGATGGGTGCAGTTAGCTGTCGCACCACGCGGTGGCACCCAGAAACTGAAGGCAACCCATGCTCTGGCCCTTGGGCAAGGGGGCCTGGGGGTTCAGCAAGACGACTGGAGCGCGTAAAAATAACCTGGCACAGGTCGCTGGCCTGAACTCACTGGCCTTCAGCTGCTTGGCTCTTTTCCCGCTCCCTAAAGACACACACAGACCTTTTTTTTTTTTTTTTTTTTTGCCTTGTTTCCAGGGGCATAAGCATGGAAAAAGTCCTGCTTCCTCATAAAACCTGGAAACCGGCAGGACTGCCAGTTCCAGTGCCATTTCCTGTATGAAGCAACACCAGGTCGCGTTTGCAGCAACTGCAGCGTGTTGCTCCAGACATGCTTTTGCTTTTAACAATACTGCCTTTGGCCTAGAGCAGCAACAGTTGAGCAGCCCTCTCTTAGTCCAGGCACCTCTTACATATCCTTTTCTGAATTTAATAGTCCAGGCACCTCTTACATATCCTTTTCTGAATTTAAGAGGTATTCTCTGTATCCTTTTGTTATGAGGGAGTGCTTACAACTTTTTACTTGGGAGTTAAAAAAAAAAAAAAAAAGCTATCACTTGGCATTTAGAAGTGACAGTGTTTGCTACTCCTGCAAACCACTTATGAACGCGTCCCACTGATCCTACCTGCCTAATACATTTCTGCAGACGCTTTACAGTGGCTTTGGGCAGCACTCGAGCATTTAGCGGAGAAAACGGGTTTTTAAAAGCTTGTCACAGTAAGCTCAGGGTGGTTTTGTTTAGCGCATGTAATACAAAGCTGCACAGCAGCTCGCTCTGAGGCAGGCAGGAGGGCCTTCCCCCCCTCCCCACAGCGGCCATTTTGGGGGGGGGAAACCGCTGCC